TCTGCCACCAGTTTCTATCTCCTAAATACTTGACACCTTTTGACTCTTGTCTAAGATAGGAGTTAGTTCTTGGCCTCTATCCCTTCCCATCCATCTGTCATCCGTTCATTCATATATTCCTCAAAGCATTTTTCAGCACTTATTCTGTATTGATTACTGTAATAGGTAATAAATTTCTTTGTGAATACAGAGAGAAAAGACATTGTTCCAACCTTCTAGGAGCCTAGAACTCAATGTGAAGGGACAGTCAGTAAATCAACATGTGTACAATGATATAGCAAAGCTAAATGGTGACAGTTATGACTTTAGAGTTCATCAGACCTGGATTTTTGGCTTCATTAATAAGAGCATTTGTGATCATGGGCAAGTTATTCTCTATGCCTCAGTTTCCTCTTTTGTAAAATTGTAGAAGTGATTGAAACTGTCACATAGGTTATTGTGATAATGAAAGCAAATAAATTGTAGGAAGCATTTAACAAGATGTCTTGCTCATAGGAAATGTTCAGTAAATACAGGCTATCATCATAATTATAGAAGTGTGCTCATGGGAGGGCTTTGTAGTCCAGCCTAGGAAGTCATACAAGATTTCTGAGATTAGATGCTACTATAGCTAAGTGTTGAAGGATGAGTGGAGTTATCTGAGCAGAGAAAAGTGTTCTCAGTAGAAGGAAAAGTTATATACAGTGGTCCCGAGGCAAGAGAGAATAGAACATGTTAGACAATTTGTAAGTACGTTAGTGTGATTAAACATAGGAGAATGTCAAGAAGCAATAATAGCAGTGTTTATTGGGATATAGTGCTAAGTGCTTTTCATACAGCCTTTCATTTAATTCTCTATGAGTATAACTTTATATCTCACTTAGAAATTAGGAAATAGGTCCCAAAGATTGGCATTTGCCCAGCATCCCACAGTCAGAAATAGCAGAATTAGTATTTCAGCTCAGATAAATGGTCTTCAGAGTCATGTATAAGTTTACCATTGTGTCTCCTGGGCTTCTCCAAGTTGAAGTCAGTGGTGTCAACAACCTTTTATCTTGTGGTGACATTGAATCTAATTGAGTGCTTTAAATTTGGTCATGGATGGGACCAGCAGTTGGCATAATGGCTATGTCACTGGACTCCCATGTAGTCGACCACGGTTCAAGTCCCAGACCCAGTGGCTTAAACTCAAGCTGGGCGCATGTGCGTGCATGCCCAAGATCCTGAGAGGAGAATGGAGAAGGGATTGCAGCGTGACCATCCCCCCTGGGGGATGATTTCTTGCTTCCTGTCTCTCTGTCTCTGTCTCTCTGGCGAGCACACGTGCCCTATAGCAAAAACCTCTCAAAAAAAAAAAATCTGGTCATGGGTGACATAGTATGGCACTGTGTTATTCTAAGAACATATTGCCAGGATTCCTTCAGTTTGCTTAAAAATTCCTTTTCTCTCCGTGTCTCAGAATGAGCTATTTGCATAGGATATCAGTGACTCTGAATAATGCCCCCTTACCACCTGTCACTGTGGCTTTGTTGCTTGCCTTCTTGGGTTTCTGAAAACTTTGCCCAAGGTTTTCCAGAATTCAAATATGGTAAAGAGCAGATCAGGGGTAATAGTGAGGTGTTAGTATTACTATATTTTTAAAGGACCTGTTTGTGCAGGGGACCTAAGCTTCAAAATCAAGGGAATGAGGAAGTGGCTTCAAACCTGGCTATTTATTAGAATTGTTTGGTGAGCCTAGAAAAAATTACAGACTCCCCCAAAATCACAGACTCCCAAACCTCTACAGAATCAGGGGTGTGGCCCAGGAATCTAAATTAAAAAGCCCTGCGTGTTTCTGATGCACAGCCAGAGTTGAGTTCTGTGCATATAAGGAAAGAACCTTGATGGAGATCAGAGTTAAACACATGTGAGTTTGGGTCTTGGCTCTTGGCTCTTGGCTATCTCCCCTTTCATTAGCTCTGTGATCATGGCCACTTACCCTTTCCAGGTCTCATTCTCTCCTCTGTAAAGGGGAGATAGTAATACAGTGTCACAGGGGAGTTGTACGAGTTAGAAGGGGTACTAGGAAGTACTTCTTTATGATTATTTCCTGGTGTCTGTTGTATACTTGGTTGTTCGTATTTAGCTGAGATAATCCTTTAGCTACAGTTCTCAGTTTAATCCTGTAAGGCACTTATTTTTATGACTGAGTCAGGAACCAAGGCATGAAAAGATAAATAACTTGCTTGAGATTTCATAACTAATTAATGGCAAAGTTGCTGAATGAATGACTAGCTCTTTCCAGTTTTAGCTCTGAAAGTCCTATCAGGATACCACCGAGGTCCAGGTGAACTGGTAAGGAATTCTACCCTAGTCTGTTCATGTGTCAAGCTCTTTCACATGACTATGCTGCTACTATGAAAGCCCCTTGAATAGTTTGGTCACAATACAGATCCTTGAATGTTACTGAATCTGAATCGGTTAGAGACTTCAGTGTGGGGCTACTGAGGTCCATCCGCATTCTAAAACCCTGTAATTTTCTTTTAGGATCCCTTGATCATATCACTGTGGTAACTGCTGATGGGAAACTTGCTTTAAACCAGATTAGCCAGATCTCAATGAAGTCGCCACAGCTGATTTTGGTGAATATGGCCAGCTTCCCAGAGGTAAGGTGACCTTGCTGTGAAAGGTCTCTTTCTATTTTGGGATGGAAAAGGTCAGGAGGGGTGTTCCCTTCAGCTTGGGATGAAATGAAAGAGAAGACATAAGAAAGAGAATGTAAGAATAAGGAAAGGCTCTCTTCTTATTTTTAAATTCCTTTTCCATTAAATGCTCTGGAAGCCAGGCAAGTAACAATGCTGAAATAGTCCCCATCTTAAAAAAATAATAATAGAGATGCAGTGATTGCCCCTTGGCCAGTGTTGGTGGGGGCCCTGATAGGATGGGGAGCTTGTGCCCTGTTTCAAAGAAGTGCTGCTCCCTAGTTCTTGGTGATCGTTGCTGGGTAGAATATAGACATATTAATCAGTGTTCTCGGATATTATGATTTTAATTTAATTGCCAGAGGTGTGTGCTCTCACCAAAGAAAGACTGAGAAGGAGAAAGCACTCCAGTGGAGAATGGTCACACTGTAATCCCTCCTCCTCTGTTTCTCCCTCCTTTTGAGATTTTGGGCATGCATGCATGTGCCCCTTGCATTTTTTTCAAGCCACTGGGTCTGAGACTCAAACCACTAGTTTGGCCATGTAGGATCCAGCTGTCCCACTTATTAAGATTTTTATTTCCAGTAGCTAGTAACCCAAATTTTTGGGTGAAATATTTATTAAATGTTGTTAAATGTGGACAGCAAACTCACTTTGTCTTTGTAAGACTATGGGATAAGACATATTAATGGGACCATTATAAGTCATCCCTAGGTCGCATCTGCAGTACCATTTGTGACCTTGGAGTACAACTTGTAGCAGAATTTCCATGAATTCACATTTCTTTCAAACTATTGTAGACTGACCATTGCAGAATATTGCATGTAGCACATTGTTTCCATTAGATCATTGCAACCTTGAGATTTTACGATTTTAAGTCTAGTAGAGAAGGATAATTGGGCTTTTTCTTGTTGGTCTGCAAGGAGTAAGCCTGGACTGCGAATCTTAAGAGGACCTGGATTCTAGTCCCATCTCAACTCCAATTGACTTTTTGATGTTGAACAAGTTGCTCACTCTCTTAGCCACATTTCTTCATCTGCTAACATGAAGTGAAGGAATCTACTGGCTCTGTCATTTTCGGTTATGTATCACGAAGACATAGACTGAAGTTGGGCCTGCTGAATTTGACCGACTAGGTTAAAGATAGGAGCAAGGAAAAGCCCTTGCTGTGAACAGACTCTCAAATCAGAGGGCCCTTGTGCTAATGTGCCAGGCACACTTGTGGGGGTGTGTTCCTCACCACTCTCATATTCCATTCTCCATACTGTAACCAGAATTAGCTTTTAAATACATATATGGGTTGGGGCTGGCAGGTGATGTAGTGGTTAAGGATGCTGGACTCCCAAATGGCTGACCACAGTTCAAGTCTCAGGTGGCTTGCTTTCTCACTTTCGCTCTCTCTCTCTCACTCTGTCCCTCTCTGGTTAAATTAAAATAACTAACTAAATAAAAAAAAGTTAAATAAAATAATTTTTAAAATATACATATGTATGTATGTATGTATGTGACATATAGGATGATATCATTCTCATGCTTTTAATTTATCAGTGACTTCAAGTAATTTTTAAGAAAAATTTCAAAATCCTTGCTATGACCTTAGAAAGCTTTGCATGATCTTGCCCTGCCTGTCCTCTAGTCTTTCCAGTCTTGTGCCACTGTCATCCCTGTACCCTCTCCTAGCCACGTTGGCCTTTCGGTTCCTCAGACACATCAAGCCCTTTGCATCCTCAATACCTTTGCATGCACTCTTTGCTTAGAACGCTATTGCCTAGGTAATTGCTACTTGTATTTTGGATCACAGCTTTTTGAGGAAGCCTTCCTAATCTACTCAATCTAAATTATTCCTCCACACTAAGCTTTCTTATACAGTACAAATCTTTTTCTTCATTGTACTTACCATTGTTAATAAATATATACTTGGGGCCAGCAGGTGGCATAGTGGTTAAGGTGCTAGACTGCCACATGGTCCAACCATGGTTTGAGTCCTGGACCTGGTAACTTGCTTTCTCACTCTGTCTCTTCCTCTCTCTCTCTCTCTCTGTCACTCTCTGGTGAGCATACATGCCCTAGAGCAAATTTTAAAATAATAATAATAATAATAATAGATAAAATTAAATAAATAATTGTTTTTCAATTATTTTAATTTTTATTTATTATTATTATTTAATATGACCAGAGAGAGACAAAAAGAGAAAGTGAGAAAGCAAGCCACTAGGTCCAGGACTCAAACTGCAGTTGGCCATGTTGGAGTCCAGCACATTAACCACCATGCCACCTGCAAATGTGGCAGCCCTGGTGAGATTCATGCATTTCCTAATAGAGGCTTTATCTCATGTAGCATCTAGTTAAGTTAAAATGGCCTTCGAATATAGGTAAGTAAAAGTCAAGTTATTATTTCAGAATTAACCGGATTTGATCATTGGATCAAATTCAATTACATTCTCTTGACATATACCAATAAATGAGCATTCTTTGTTAACCATTATTTTGTATAGTAACCAAAGGAATAAATCCTCAGAATCTGTTGTAAAAAATTTGTACTTTATGGTTGACTAGCATTGACTTTTAGGGTTCAGACTCAGATGACCTGGAGACTTGACTGGACTATTTTGGATAGCCAATTTGTTCTCTCAAATATTTTAATATCTTACAGAGGTGTTTTTGGACTGTATAGCCCTATGTATATCTACTTATTTCAATAGTGGTTTGTGATTATGCTGAATTATGGGAAATAATTTTCCCCTTGTATAGCTCCTCAAGTACAGCTCTGTTTGCTTATGCAAGAACCAAGTATTGTGCTAAATGAAATATACTCCTCTCCTCCCTCAGGAACTGCTAATCTAGTAGGGAAGACATTATTAAGATTCACAATATTGTTAAAAATGATTTTTTATTTAATGATGTTTTTCATATTGATCTAGAGACAAATAAGTGATTCTTCCTTTTCTAGCAAATATTTTTGCTGAGCATTTAGAATGTCATATTTAATGAAAAAACAAACTAGAAAGTGGAGACGATAGCATAAGTCATATTATGGAATATCCCACTTTCAAACTTATATGACTTTACAGTTTGGAAACCATGTAGAATTAAAAAACTCCTGAGGTAACTTTGTAAGGCCATAAGTAAGCTCACAGGTGTTTGTTTATTTTTGCAACCTATGTACAGTGGAACTTGAACCATATAGAAGACGCTATCAGAGACATCTTTATAGTTGTACAGAATGGGTGTCCTTTATCTGAAGTTTTGGAGACTAGAGCAGTGTGGATATATTTTTGAATTTTTAGAATATTTGCATATATATAATGAGATACCTGGGGATGAGACTCAAGTCTAAACACAACATTTATGTTGCATACCCACTAGATTAGTAGCCTGAAGGTAATTTTGTAAAAGTACTTGATTGCAAGTGCTAGACTGCCACATGGTCCAACCATGGTTTGAGTCCTGGACCTGGTAACTTGCTTTCTCACTCTGTCTCTTCCTCTCTCTCTCTCTCTCTGTCACTCTCTGGTGAGCATACATGCCCTCGAGCAAATTTTAAAATAATAATAATAATAATAATAGATAAAATTAAATAATTATTTTTAAAAAGTATATACTTATTTCAATGTTTATTTTCCATCTCGCCTTCACCAGATTGGAAGCTTGGAATGTAGGAATCATATCTAACTTGTTCATTGGGTCCGGTGCCAAACACAGTGCCTGGCATGTGAAAGTGCTCAGTAGATTTTCATCAAATGATTAGTACTTGTCATTAGATGGTGGAAGTGAGGCACTCATTCCCAGTGTAACTGAGGACCAAAGAAATGGATGAGAAAGGGAACTGTCAACTCTCCGTCTCTGGCCCCCTATGAATCACTGAGACCTCTCTGCCTTGTTCATCTAATCCCATGGGCACTGCGGGCCAATTTAGGGAATAGCCTCCTAATTACACAGCTTGAAGACCTCATCAGGCAGATTGCCTTTCAGAGCCAGGCACTTCTGTTATTAAATAGCAAATGGCTTTCACAGAAGAAGCACCTGATTGGCCACCAGAGCATCTTATGAGGCAGGAGGAGGTATTAACAGCTTAATTTTTTCTTAGGAAGTTGGAGTTTATCTTCCTTTTTCAGCCAAAGCATTGTCGCCATTTTTCCAAGTTGAAATTCTGTGAGTTTTGAAAAAAATCTTTACAAGCATCTCAATGGAGAGGTTCATTTACAAGGACAGAATGAGGAAGTGTGAGAGTTACATTGTTTTTTAAAGTCCTTTATCTCATCTGGTGTATATATTAACCAAATAGCTCTAACTAAACATTTCCTTCCTCCAGCTTACAAGCTGTCCATAGAGTACCCAAGTTCATAGATTCCAAATGAGGAGCTAATCCACCCTGTGTTTATGTAATTTCTCTCTGTTTCACATGCAGTTGGCTTTCTTTCCAAACCTGAGCATTTCTGTGTCATGCTATGGTGACATGGTGCAGATTTACATGCATAATCTTTTTGAATGCATTGAAGACAGAAAACTATTGCATTTGTTTAACATGTGTCCTGCTTGATAGATGATACACACAGTTGCTGCCTTCCATAAACTTGCCTGCAGCTATAGTAAATGATGGGAAAGAAAAGAAGGGAATAAAAACCACAGCATGATTTGAACAAAAAGGCAAATGAAAAGAAAAATTCTGCAGGCCCCATTATTGCTTTTGTGGAGAGGAGAGAGCTGACTTGTGTTGTGCTACCAGTCACTTTCTCATGTTTTGTTTCATATCAACACAGATAACGGTATAAAATTAGGCATTATCTATTCCATTTTTTCAGTGAGGAACCTGAAGCTTGGAGAAGTAAAACATCTCCCCTAGGTTCTTGCTATTGTGATAGAGCCAAGCTTTGATCATACTCTGACACAGAAGCCTGTATTCCATTCACCATTCATTCTACACATTTTTGAGTCCTTGCAAGTGATTAGGTTCTAATGGAGGTTGCTAGGAATTTATTAATGCTTAAGGTACACCTTAAGAAGCAGAGACCTTGTATTCTCAGGACTCACTGGGATATAATGGAAATGGAAGGCTATTAATCAATATGGCACTAACAGAGTTGATTTGAGTCTCAAGGATTTGTTCACCTGTCTACAAAAGTTTTGTCATCTACTGTCCTTTATCATGAATTAGTTTAGAATAGCAAGGGCAGATGTTGCTCATGGATCACATCACTCTTCCCTGACCAACCCTGGAGGCATCTGTGATCTCTCAACACTTTATTTCAAGCAGCCACCAGCAATTGGTCAGTGTTGTCATTTCAGAGCAACAATTTGCTCTGGAATAATGGCGACTATCTCTTCAGTGAGGGCATAAAGGCTAAGAGATGGAAATTCTATAGGAATGTGCCTTTTTTTTAAAATCTGAACCATGAGTAATTTAGATGTCATGTTGGAAACATGACTAATTCCTGATGTTCTGTGTCCTACTATGTCAAACCAAAATATATAAATCTAAAATATGTTAGAAATACCTTTCAGTAGATTTCTTTGTAAAATGAAATTTCAATTAATTCATATTATTCTTCATTGCTAGAGGACACATGTGCTCACCAGAGAGAGAAAGAGAGAGAGAGAGAGAGAGAGAGTGAGCGAGCACACAATCACCCCCTAATGGAACATGGTTGCACTGCAGTCCTTTTTCCTACATTTCTTTATCCTGTCAGGATTTTGGGCACACATGCCCAAATGCACACAAGCCTGGCATGTTTTTCAAGCTACTAAGGCTGGAATTCAGACCATAACTGGCCATGTGGGATCCAGCTCCTGGTGTGCAGCACCTAGCCACTGTGCTATGGGGCAGCCCTGATTGAAAGTTCTTTTCTGCACATGAAAAAACATAAAATTTGGGAACCAGCAGTTAGCGTAATGGCTATGTCGCTGGACTCCCACGTAGTCGACCGCGGTTCACGTCCCGGACCCGGTGGCTTAAAACTCACGCCGGGCGTGTGTGCGTGCGTGCCCAAGATCCCGAGAGGAGAATGGAGGAGAAGGGATTGTGGCGTGACCATCCCCCCTGGGGAGTGATTTCTCGCTTTCTGTCTCTATGTCTCTCTCTGTCTGTCTGGTGAGCGCACGCGCCCTACAGTGAAAAATCTCTCAAAAAAAAAAACAACATAAAATTTGAAGTATAAAATAAGGTTTTGGGGGGTTATATGCATGAAACTGAATAAGGAGATGAGTTTTTCAAATAGATCTAGACCAGATCATTAATATATTCGTACTTCCCATGAACGCAGTTCTGCACCTTGTACTAGGAAGGCATAATACTGAGCTAAAGTTCCTGTGCAGGAGAAGGCTGTATAGAGACTATGAAAGGGAGGTGGTGGTGGTGGATGTTACAGCTATGGGCTATCAATCATTCATTGAGAGGTGTGGAAGAGCACCGAGACACTTGAAATCTCACTACCCCTACTGAGTAGAGATTCTCCCCTCGTCGTTACCTTTAGAAACCTGTATTCCCTTCCTTTCTCTTTATATTTTTAAATACTACAGGGTATGTGTGCACAAAAGAGTGAGCACACATGTGAACAGGCACCTCCCAGTGAGACCAGGTCATGCTTCAATCCTGTTTTCTACAGTTCTCCATCCCAACAGGATCCAGGGCAGGCACGTGTGTGTTTGTGTTTGGGCATCTTTTTGAAGCCTCTAGGGTCCAGACTTGAATCCTGGTTGCCCATGCAGAATCTAGCTTTCTCTCTGCAGTGAGTAACTGTTGTGCTACAGGACTCACTCAGTGTTTCAGTTTACTAAGGAAGATGGCAGTTTCTTGCATAGGAGAATTAATTTCACTTCTTCATCCAGCTCTTTTATTTACCCCAGGCATACCTTTTAGAATACTGTTTTTTTCACCAGCCTAATTCCAAATGATTTTTAGTTATTAAAAAAAAAATCAAATCTCTCTTAGGTCACTATGACTGACACGTTGAACTTGGGATCTAGAAAAAAATATAAACAAAGTAACATCATTGGACTGAGTCCCCATTCAGGTCCTTCTTACTCTGTCAGTGAGATCCCATTTCTTTTGGGTTCTCAGGGAAAACCACGTTTATCCTTAAGGTTGTCACCTTATCCTGTGAGCTCCTATATGCATAATAAACTGGCTGTGTTTTGTTTTATTGGAGATCTATTCCAGCCCTGATAATGTGTGGTAAGAGGTACCGTTTTAAGTATGTACTATTTTAAGTAGTGGTTATACTGTTAGTCTCTGAATGGTTTCTCAAGGTATTATTCATCTATACATGGAAGATCTAGTCTGTCTTTTGGTAACACTTTATACACATGTAGAATTAAGATCATTAAAAAAGTATGTGGATAGGCTGGCAGATGGCATGGTGGTTAAGGTGCTGGACTCCCATAGGACCGACTGCAGTTTGAGTCCTGAACCTGGTGGCTTGCTTTCCCTCTCTCTCTCATTCTGTTCCTCTCTAGTCAAATTAAAAGTAAATGAATAAATAAATAAAATAATTCTTAAAAAAAAAAGTATGTGGATAATTCTTTTAGGCTTCTTACCCTCCAAAAACCAAAACCAAAGTGAAAACAAAACAAAAAGCCCCAAACACCTGGAAAAGTAAAACAGGTGTGTGTCACCCCTTATTCATTTAACCAGAAAGTCTGGGGAGGCACTCAGCTTGTGAATCCAAGTGATCTGGATTGGCTCTGGTCAAACCTAGAATTCCTTTCAGACAGGACGCATGTCAGAGTCCTGTTTTCAGGAATTCCACATTGTCATGCCAGTAAAGGTGTCTGTCTTCCACACTGTACTTGGCCAATAGGATTGCAGAGCAGGTGTGTATGATGTTACTTGGGTGTTAGGCAAGGCACTTGGGGAAGTTGTTGTACCAGTGTGCCAACTGGCATGTGAATGAGCAAGCCTCTCGGAAGCCCCTGAGGATGTTGGGTGGGACAGCAGTGCATCAGCCAATGACAACATCAGCTCAGTTTTTTGGGTGGGGGGGTGGTTTATGCATTTTTATCTTTATTTAGCACATATACTTCTAATGTCTTTACAAAATAACTACCCTTGATTTGGTGTTGCTGTGTGCCAGGCGTAGAGCAAGATGCATCACTCATCTCACTACCTCGCTAGTGTTTCGGTGCCATGTGTTCTGAGATTATGAATTGGAGGCTCAGAGAGGTCAGTCTTATTGCTAGGGTCACTAAGTTATCAGAACTCAGATTTGAACTACGATCTTTCACTCCAAAGCCTATACTTTGGAGTGAAAGAATTAAGGTCATTTAAGAAGTATGTGGATGGGCCGGCAGGTGGCATGGTGGTTAAGGCGCTGGACTCCCATAAGACAGATATGCTGTATTACTTTTTCTGGAGCACATACTGGCAGAGATTCATTGCTCATTCTAAAACTTGAGTGAGCTTGGTACCAGTAAGGATGTGAATGAGTTAAATCTATTTACTTATTCTAAATCGGCACTGGTATATTTGGAATGTAAAATGTCAACTGGAATTTTTAACGTATGAAATCTTTCATCTGTCTTTACACCAATCTTTGCACAGTCCAGCCCCCCTCCCTTGAGGATTTATTGTGGTTTTGATCTGTGTTGCCTCAAACCATTGAAATCTTTTCAAAGAAGCAGAGCTGTTTTCTTTTTATTTTTTCTTCCCTTTCTTTTTTTCCTCCCGCGGTACACTGGTACCAGGAGTGGACATGGTTTGCTATTCAGCTTGATCAAAGCACTCTACACCAATGTAACTTCCTGATCTTACTGGTAACAGAACTAAATGTTTCCATGTTCTGCCAAGATGGGTTGCCAGTTATCGACAGAGGGCTTGCATCTGGTAATAATTATTTACTAATTCTGTTTACCTTTTGATCTGGTTTTCAGTGTACAGCTGCAGCTATCAAGGCTATAAGAGAAAGTGGAATGAATCTGAACCCAGAAGTGGAAGGGACGCTAATTCGGGTCCCCATTCCCAAGTAAGTCTGGCTGAAATTCATATGCTTTGATGAAGTGGGGCAGTTGTCCTTAGAAGGAAACCAACATCCTACTATACCGTTAGGCTGATAGCATACCTTACGTGCACCTTTCATCCTGGAAAACATGTTTTGAGATCTGGGGTAGTTATTCTGAAATCTTTATTGAATGCCTGTTACATACGTGCTACTTCCTGGGCGTGTAGCTGTAAGCTTGAGAAAGTCCTTGTCCTCGTGTAGTTTACATTCTGGTTGAGAAATAAGACAGATACATAATGAATTGCCATGAGGAAAGAGAAGATAGTGGAATCTGATAGAGAATAAGTTGGCAAGGGTGTTGGTAGCTGTGACAACTTTAGCCTGGGAGGGCTCTTTAAGGAGAAAAATTTTAAGTTTATTTCTTCTGAGAGAGAGACAGACACAGACAGGCACCTCAGCAGCTCAGCAGGGTCTTCACAGCACAATCCATGGGCCAGCTGGTAAGGCTTTTTTTTTTTTTTTTCCAAATTGAATATAATTTATTTATATTCAAAATTTATAAAATAAAGCCTCAAGTGCAAGAAAATATAAACAGCAACATACAACAAAGTATCAGCAGGCAGATG